ATATTTATATATATAACTAATTAAGTTTTGGAGTCAAACTAATTAAAGATGGTTATAATTCAGTTATCTTGGCAGGGTTTAGTTCAAATTTGGTGTGGTAGTAGCTGAGACTCTCCCACTACACAAATTTTGAGCACTAACAGATCTTATGTCTTGAACAAAACTTTAGAATGTAAAGAACAATTTGTTTGTTTTGTTTATTTGTTTGTTTTGGGGGTAAATTGCAGGGAATTGGAAGGATGATCCTAAAGGAGGAGATGAAGGCTCGCTCAGGCTGTTACGACAATGACCACTGGAGGAGCAGCCGCAGCTCCCGGTGTAACAGCAAAGAGATGCTGAACAGTTTGGAGTACAGCTCCCTTAATTGCTGTAAGTTTCTATTTGATTGTATCACCTCTTTTTTTCTATACACATATTTTGCCACTGGAAGACAATCTGGCTGCACTCTCTTCTCTCCTCMTTTGATCCCACTCCTCCTCATCGCCTCCAGCAGCTGTGAGAGTGAAACAAAGATGGAGAAACTGATGCAGAAAGAGAGAGTGAGAGTAGGTGGTCAGCTGAGAGAGAAACAAGGTTTTATAATAGGGAAGGCAGAGAGAGAAAGAAAAAGAGAGAGAGCAATAAGAAGTGAATTAGATGAAACAGAGAGAATGGGAGGAAAATAAAACCTAAAGCAGTTTGGAGGGAGGAGCTGTACGACATGAAGCCTGGAGATAAATGAAGGTCAGAGAGCAGGAGAGAAGAAATGAGCTCCGTTCACGAGAAGAGYGACAGAAAAAGTAATGTGCATAATCGCTGAGTACTTTGTATCATCTGCTGTAATACAGAGCTCTGCTGCGGACTAAAATACTTTGTCATAGTTTTTTTGAAAATCAGTTTTATCAAGCAAACATTTTTAATCAGAACATTAAAGGTAACGAGAGCGCTTCAGATCTAGAAGATTATTTTCTATCCAGAGTGTGAATCTGATGTTTCTGTCCTCAGATCCCAGATCCATCTGCAGCTCCGACAACGGTGAGACTTTCTGATCTCTACCTTCATTATGAGTCAGCTTTCCCTCTCATCTCCTTCATCCTGTTGAGTTATTTCTGCCGAAGAAGCAGAGCCTCAAGTGACAGTAATCAGCTCCCATCACAAACACAACTCTTTGTGTGTATGTGTGTGTGTGTGTGTGTGTGTGTGTGTTACAGGTGGGAGGAAGATCCTTGCTGTTTTTTAAAAATATATATATATTATGTTTTTGACGCAGCACTGATCCAAAATTCACTGAGCTTTATCTGTCTTTCATCTATTTCATAACCTGCCACATCACTGTGCCTACACATAGAATAAAGGATATCCGTATATTAGGACCTTTTTAGTGTTTATGAGGATTTTTATCTCAAAAAATCCCAAATCGTTGTGCAAAATTCTTTTTAAAATGGCTGTTTAGACACTATAAAATATTAAAAACTAAAAGTAGAGCAAATTGTTCAAAAGTCATGTGAATTTTAAGCAGCGCTAGTGATTATAAAACACCAAAAACCCTGATGAATGAGATGCTTAGGGGACTCTGATGTGCATCAGTGCACACGTCAATAAAAAAAACTATATTTTTACAATGTCCTGATGCATCTCAGTAATCCAGGTAAAAAAATCAAAAGGAAAAAAATTGTATAGGTCCTAATAAATAAAATAAATATATTTTTATAATGGAGACAAAAGTGTGGAATGTTTCTTGTTTAAAAAAAGGGAAGCGTTTGACAAAGTCATTATAGTTCAGAGTCTCTACACACCAGTCAGCTTTCTGCTTCATCATGACATTCACCTCGGCTCTTTGACATGGCTGTGTAATTCAATTCCTCCGAACATGAACGGGAACAAGAGAAGCTGAGGGAAAAGAGGAGAGCRAGACGAGCTGTGAGACTCTACTGTCCTCTGCTGCTGCTGCTGCAGCACTGCAACACAACAGAGCACCATTAATATCAGTTAGGAAATACAGTATCACTATTGTCAGKAAAAGGTTAAARTAATAGTTCAGATCTTTTAGAGTGGGGTTCTGCTGAAAGGTCGTGTTCTTTGAATGTTCACAGTTTAGATCAGGGTAACTTCAATGATAGAAGGGTCCACAAAATKTTGTCAACACTACCAGAGTACTTAYCCAAATGTAATAAAGATAWTTATTTTTGCTGAGTATCTAYCTGCAGCTCGACCGGGTTCATGTGGCTGYGAGTTGCCATGCAGCGACGCGACAACAAAGACTCTCATTGGTTGAGACAGGCGATGAAAGCCATCTAAAGCCAATAGTGATCAAGATCTCGCCTCCCTGTTGTAACCTCTGGGTTAAAAAAATAATAATTCACTTGCCCAGCACTAATAAAAATACAAAAGGTTTGAAGCAAACAAAACATAAACTCTTACTTTAGCGAGGTGAACTGCAACAGCGTAATGCTACGTTCACACCGAACGCGTTTTGAATGGCCAAAAAGAGCAAAACACCTCAAGTTGGACGCACTATCTTCAGACCAGAACGAGAAGCAGCAGCAGCGGCTGCAGCCGGGTGTGAGAGGAGCGTGTCCTCAGCSGGTGAATTAAATATGAAATAAAAGAAAATGGCTTTGATTTATTTACTAAAAAGCAAGTGAACGTTGCGCACAGCAGATAATTAACTCACCAGATGATTTAGAGGCGATTTGTTCGGTTAGTTTCGTAACTCCAGAAGCTGCCAGCTGACGGACTATTTTTTTTTTGTCCCGAGCAGCTGACCCACATCGGTGCTGATATATCCTGCCAGAAAATCCAACTGCACACGGTCGATTTCAGGTAAAGATCTCCAGTCCGTCTGTTTCGGTTTTCAGTGGGAGATGCGTCAAGCAGCGAAAAGTTCAGATATTTGAACTCTGGTGGCGGCTCGGGGGGCGGCGGCTTCCGCAGCATCGCATGCGCGCAAAATGCTTCCGCCATCTTGCGCGCCCCCCAAAACATATGTGACGCGATGCACGACCCCTAGGCACGTCCACCATAGACTTTGCATGTAAACCGACTGCACCTGCAACTCAAAACACATTCGGTGTGAACGTAGTGTAAGATGCCTTTGGTGCAGACTCCTGGGAAAAAGTCTCTTTATGTACTTGTGGCTTCAGTTAACTTCTCATATTTAGCTTTGTGGTGACGACTCTAAGCAGATTAAACACATTTGCCTTGAAATTTTGTGAACAGATAGTCCACCTCTCCTTTCACCTAAAACATGTGATTTCCTCCGTCCAGTGTTCTTTCCTCWGTTCTTAGCCATGGCTAAACATCTCTCCCTCACTRGTACCRTCTGTGYTGTAGGYACCATCTAGTGGCAAACTTTGTTATTACAATAAATTCAGTGTCACTGAGACACTTAATAAGTTTTGTGATTTTCAAAAATTATTCTGACGCTTTTTTTAATAATAAAGATTTTTTTTTCTTGGTGGGCCAGACTGAAGTCACTCGCAGGCCAGATATGGCCTGCAGGCTGCCAGTTGCCCATCCCTGGTTTAGAAAAAAATAAAATTTAATTCTGACCAGACTGACAAGCTACCCTGAAAAATTCACCCATAAATTGCACACATTAATAGCGGCAGCAGTTTGCTGTAGTACATACAGCATTGGGGCACTTCTGACCAAAATATCATACATTTCTGCTAGAATACATAATTTATCCAAAAATAACAGCAATGCAAAAAATATATAATATTATATTTTAATAAAACAACTATTTTTTTTACATTAAATTAGTTTTAAAGTAGCAGTAATTCACTACAATTATAGCCACACACTAGCTGTTAGCT